CGGACATGGGTTGACAATAGAGGAGTGAGGTAGGTTACAGGGAATTTATTAGGTAGTGTTTAGTTTTTATCTTAAACTGGTTGAGAGAGGTACTGTCTTTAACATGGTTGGGAAGGTCATTCCACATTCTGGGCCCCTTGATTTGTAGAGCATTTCTGGTTTGATTAAGTCGTACTCTAGGAATATCAAAACTGTATTTATTTCTGGTGTGATGCTCATGGGTTCTGTTACAACCTTCTATGAAGCTTTTGAGATCAGGATTGGCATTACAATTTAGCGTTTTGTATATGTATAGTACACATGAGAGAATGTGCAGTGACTTAATGTCTAACATATTCAGGGATTTGAATAGGGGTACCGAGTGATGTCTGGGGCCAGAATTGGATATTGTCCTAATAGCAGCTTTGTGTTGAGTAATTAGAGGACGTAAATGATTTTGGGTAGTAGAGCCCCAAGCACAAATACCATAGTTGAGATATGGATAGATAAGGGAGTAATAGAGAGTCACCAGGGCAGGGCGTGGTACATAATATCTGATCTTAGAAAGAATGCCCACAGTTTTTGAAACTTTTTTAGATATGTTTAGAATGTGTCCCTGGAAATTCAGCTTGTGGTCAATGAGAATGCCAAGGAATTTGCCATCTAATTTGTTACAAATTTGGGTATTGTTTATTTTGAGATTTATTTGATTAGAGGATTTATTGCCAAACAGAATATAGAAAGTTTTGTCAATGTTAAGGGTGAGTTTGTTGGCAGTTAGCCACAGATGGACTTTATTTAGCTCAGTATTTACTGTGGCATTTAGAGCAAGGGGATCAGGACTGGAGTAAATGAAGGTTGTGTCGTCAGCAAATAGGATTGGTTTGAGGTGTTGGGAGGCATTTGGAAGGTCATTAATGTAGATGAGAAAGAGGAGAGGGCCAAGTATGCTGCCCTGGGGAACACCAATGTTGATGGGTAGGGTGGGAGAAATTGTATTATTCACAGAAACACATTGGAGCCTGTCAGTAAGGTAGGATTTGAGGTATTGTAGGGAGTGTCCTCTGACACCATAATGATGTAATTTAAGAAGAAGGTTTTGGTGGTTGACAGTATCGAAAGCTTTACGCAGGTCCACAAATAACCCAACAGGGAACTCATTTTTATCAAGAGCTGTATGAATCGAGTTAAGCATACTAATAAGTGCATCGTTAGTGCCTTTCTTGGGCCTGAAGCCATATTGGCAAGGGCTAAGTATATTGAGTTTGGCCAGATATGAGTAAAGCTGCTTATAGATTAGTTTTTCAAAATTTTTTGACAAGTTTGGCAGGATTGATATAGGTCTGTAGTTGTTAACATCTGTGAGATCACCACATTTGTGGACAGGCGTTACTCTCGCTTTTTTTAGAATATCTGGAAAGGTTTGGAGTTCAAGTGACTTGTTGAAGAGCAAAGCAATAGCAGGGGCTAAAGATCTGGAGGCTTTTTTGTAGATTAAAGTTGGTATCTCCTCAAGGGCACCAGACTTGGTTTTAAGGGAAAGGATTATCTCATTGACGTCAATGGAATTAATAGGCTTTAGGTACAGAGACTGGGGATAGTTCCCTGTCAGATAGTCCTTAATGTCAGTACTGGAAGATGGTATATCATTAGCAAGGGATGAACCAATGGAAGAGAAGAACCTATTGAACTCAATAGCAGAATCAGAGGCTGAAAGCTGACCATCGTTATTAGACAGGAGAGTCGGTTTGTTATTTAAAGACTTCTTTGATCCCAATATTTGTGAAATTGTTCTCCATGTTTGTTTAATGTTGCTCTTTATTTGGGTAAATTTATCTTCGTAGTACTTAGTTTTGGCTCGTCTAATTATCTTAGATAGCAATAATGAGTAATTCTTTGAGAATTTTTTGGAGACAATCCCTAACCTATACTTTTTCTCAAGGTCATGTTTTTTATTAATAGATTTAAGTATTCCCTTTGTAAGCCAGGGATTGTTAAGCCTTTTGGTTGTGACTTGTTTTGTAAGCATAGGACAGTGGGTATTATAAAGGCTAAGAGTTGTTAGTAGAAAAGATTGCACTGCTAGGTTGATGTCCCCTATGTTACCTAACTCGGACTCCCAGTTGACATTATCAGCAGCAGTTATAAAATTGTTTATAGCAGTTTCATTGTGCAGCCTAAAGCTTAACTCCCTTGTTTCTAGAGGTGGTTTGCTAATGTTAGTTAAGAGAAATGTGGGGTAATGGTCTGTAGTGCTATCGGTGATTATACCTGAAGTAAGCGGAGAGGTTATATTTGTCCAGATGTGATCTAGAGTCGTGGCAGTGCTATCAGTGATTCTAGTAGGTCTAGTGATTAAGGGTATGAGGAAGCAGGAATTCATACAGTTGAGGAAGCTAACAGCAGTAGGGTGTTCTGGCTCGCAGAGGTCAATATTAAAGTCCCCTGCGATAATTAGGTGGTTTTTGTTCAGTCTGTTATCAAGTATTAGATTTCTAAGGTTTGAGTTGAATTCGGACACATCAGTGTTAGGAATTCTATAAACTGCACCCACAGACAGGATAGACTCGGCACCCTTGACTCTGAAGCTGGCGAAGATATACTCCCCATAGCAGTCTCTAGTTCTAATTTATTTTAAGCATGTTAGTTCTTGGTGGTAGTAAAGAGCAGTGCCACCACCTCTCTGAAGTTGACGACAGTTGTGGATTGCTGAGTAGTATAGGCATGTTAAAGAGTTGAGTAGTATCATCTTTCAACCATGTTTCAGTAAGTATAATAAAAGAGAAATTGTTGTCAATAGCTTCAATCAAGGCACTAACATCATCGAAGTGTTTGCCTAGGGATCTAACGTTCAAATTGATTACAGAGATATTGTGACTATGAGTTAATACATTGTTTACATCATGTGCTGCAAAATATCTGCAATTTAGATCATTAAAGTGATTATTGTCATAGATAGTGGATAAGAGGTTAAGTTCTGGGTCTATACTTGACTGCATAAAAAAAAGCTGATTGCCGGAAAAACAAGAAAAACAAAAAGAAATAAAAGTACGCAATACTGTACCAAACAAGTGGCCAAAGTAGTGGCTGATGTTTGAGTGACTCGGGTAGGTTTGGTTATTGTGGGGATTAGCATACAGGAGTTCATGCTTTTGACGAAATAGTCAACTTGAGGGCAATTTTGTTGACCCAGGTCGATATTGAAATCTCCTTCCAGAATGATGTGGTTTTTGTTGAGATTGTTGTTTATAATAAGATTCCTTAGGTTATCTGAGAACGAAGCTATGTTAGTATTGGGAAATCTATAGATGGCTCCAATAGTCAAGGAGGATTTAAGGGATTTAATTGTAAACTGAACAAAAGTATATTCACAGTAGTCATCTCTATCACTAATGACACTGTTGTAGATAAATGTATCTCGGTAATATATAGCTGTGCCGCCACCTTTTTTATTAGGCCTACAGTTGTGAATGGCTTTATAACCAGCTAAATTGTAGAGTTGGGTTATGTTCCCAATCCGAACATCTTTACCATTGTGATCTTTGCTGTTTTCTTATATGTGCTATCAATCTGCTGTATGGTGTCTATTAATCTTGTTTAAATTACCAATCAAGTTGTTAATGTAATCAATCAGAGCTTTAATATACCAATGTGCTCTAATATACTTACTAATCTCTCTCATCTCATTTTTTCTTGCAATGTATCTGTTATCATTTTATTAATTCTGCTAGAATTTACCTACTTAATAAACACTTTGGCGCATTCCTGCAGACCGTCGTTGTCACCAATATTATTAATCACACCGCACGCGTGCCCCTCTCGGGAGTCACGAGAAAAAATATTTGTATAAAATCCATTTATTATCCGATCAACTTGGGAATAGTTTACAAATGTTTGCCATGAAATTTACGTTTTCTCTAATAGCCGAACAGCTTATTAAAGAGGACGGCGTGGCAGTGAATCATCGTGGTAAAACAATTGTATTATTGACACGACGAGTATAATCGACGTAGTTTTTATATATGTTGCCGGTCGAACGCATCCTTATGTGACCTTTAATACTTATGTTCTTATAGAACATTCTATTGCGAGCACATTGGTACAAAAATGAAATACATACATCGACAAATAATGTCAGGACAGTGAATTGAATATACACTTTTCAAAGCGAGTTTCGCTGATATGCCGCCGCGGGTAACACTTCGGCCACTTCCCACACTGTTTTGGGTGGGCTACGACATTGAATCTATATTTATATGCATATGTCCGTGTAGAGAATTTTATTTCGATTCCAATGATACCACAATTAGCGATGTAGGACAACTGTAGGCTTCGCAACCATTAAGAGAGTGGAAACATTTTGTTGCTGTTTGGCGCTCTCGGCTAGTGATCTGAATAGTTTTTTATTTGGTGTTGATAATCCTTATGCTTTGGCGGAATTTTATAGATATGTTCTTATAGACAATTTTATTGCGAACACAGTGATACCAAATTTAAATACGTGCGCCTTCAATTATTGTCAGGACAGTCAAAAGAGTGTACACTTTTTCGGTCTTACCGTGTAGGCGCGCGAAGCGCCGAAAGCATCTAGGGTATGATTTTTTTTTGAACGCTGAGAGCGCGAAAGTGTTAAATTAATTAAATTAAAATTATCTGTTAGATTAAGGATCTGCCCGAAACGCTGTGCGTACTAGTGACTTTACAAGATTGTAAATACTATGCTATGTAAACAGCAGCGAACACAAACCAGCGCCTGTACGAACGAAAGGGTTTGTATGTACAAACTTCTCAGTGAACGAAGATGTTTCTAGTGAAGTATCCGAAACTGCAGTAGACGATTTGACCAGTCCTCCACACCACTGCTTCTACTGAGAAGAAGGGTAGTAAACACCATCCTCCCACTGATATATCTGTACCTGTAAGTCACATATAATAAAGTCTTATAGTACGTGCTGCAGGTCGGACGGGACTCCTCACCCATCTGGAGACAGTAACTCACACTAACTGCATGCATCATAAAGATGAGGCCACGCCAGTGCCCTGAGTGTGGGAAAACATATAGTAGTTTTGCACATATGAAAAGGCACATGACGGTGCATACTAGTGATAAATGTCACGAGTGCCCAGAGTGTGGGAAAACATTCAGTCGTCTTGAGAGTGTAAAGAGGCACACGCCGGCATGCACGGGTCATACACCTCAGGAGTGCCCAGAGTGTGGGGAAACACTAAGTGACCCGGGTGATATGAGGAGTCACAGGATGGTGCATGTGGGTCATAAACCCCACAGGTGTGCAATGTGTGGGAAAACATTTAGTCAACTTGGAGAAAAGAAGGTTCACATGATGGTGCATTGGGGAGATGAACCTCATGAGTGCTCAGAGTGTGGGAAAACATTTTGTGATATTGATGATGTGAAGATTCACAAGTTGGTGCATAAGGTTATTAAATCTAACGAGTGTCCAGAGTGTGGGAAAAAATTCAGTCAACATGGAAATATGATGATTCACAGCAGGGTGCATACAGGTATTAAACCTCACAAGTGTTCAGAATGTGGGAAAACATTTAGCCAACTCGGAAATATGAAGATTCACAGGATGTTGCATACAGGTATAAAACCTCACAAGTGTCCAGAATGTGGGAAAACATTTAGCCAGCTTGGAAATATGATGACTCACAGGCTGGTGCATATAGGTGATAAACCTCACAGGTGTCCAGAGTGTGGGAAAGCTTTTAGTCATCATTCTACTGTAAAGAGACATATGATGGTTCATGCAGGTGATAAATCTCATGTGTCCAGAGTGCCAGAAAATGTTTAGTCAACTTAAAAGTATGAAGATTCTCAGGACATTGCATATGGGTCCTTAACCTTGAGTGTGCTAAGTATGGGAAAAAATTCTGATAATGCAGGGAAATTGGAATTTCCGTCCTGCAGTCACAGAGTACTAGAATGTCTGTCCTGCCGTCATAGAGTACTGGAATATCTGAAAAAAAAAATGATTAGCACTGTGCATTCAGATAACCTCCAAATGTATAGAATGTAGGAAAATATTCAAGTGGTGTGTAAATATAAAGTCATATGTTAATGCATATAGGTAATAAACATCACTGTTTCAAATGTTATGAAAGAATCTGTTAACATGGAGATACAGAGAAACGTAGAAAGGTGAACAAGAGTGACAAATGTTTTGAGTGCCCCAAGTACAGTAAAATATATAGTCTATTGGTAACAGCACAAGATGTCACAAAAGTGCATTCAGATGATAAATTTTACTAGTGCCGTTAATGAATAGTATTTAAGTATTATTTGTTTTACTACATACATATTACAAACTATATAATATATATACATATCAGGATGAAACTAACAATATTGCTTAGTAAACCAATGTAAATATTTGAAAAGAAAGAGTTTCATCTTGAGAATGCTCGTAGTGCCTTGGTTTATATTTATAATTTTTTTTACTGAATTCTTTTCAAATTTTTATTTTGGTCTTTTTAAGAATTATACTGTATTTAAAACATGGTATCTTGTAGCTAGGTTAGGCATAAGATACAGTATTTTGTTTTTTTGCTACAAGCATATATAGGCCTAACTTAGTTTATTATCAAGCAAGTAATTAGGCAGGAAGTAGAAAATACAATTGAAGTTAATCTAATTTTGTTGAGTGGAATAATATTGAGTTTCATATTGGGTTCAATCAGGAATTAGAACTTCGTCTGTACTGTCTAAGCTCATTAATTTGTATCATATGGGGATAACCCAATCCAAAACATGTGGGGGATCAGAAAGTCAAATTTCATACGATGTATATTAAAAAAAAAATTGTAATGTTTTGGGTATGACAACTAAATTCGTATTTTCACATACTGTATAATCAAAATAACCTGAGTAAATAAAAAATATATATTTTTTAAGTAAATATTAACAAATATATACAAAATATTTGTATATACAGTATTTTTATATAATAAAATTACACTGAGTAAATATAAAAAAAACTGAGTAAAAAAAATAATCTACCACATAGGTTCGAATCCTTATCACTGCTGCAGATTTTCTCAATAAACTGAGTGTTATGGGAACATCTTCACATAAATAAAATATAATGAATTTAGAAAAAAATAGGAGCCATGAGGATTTGAACCTGCATACTAGGTACTCTCAAGATATGCAAAGAATGCATTGTTCACAGAATGAATTGTTTTGGCAGCATGTTCATATAAATAAATAAATAAAATTTAATGATAACAGAAATTTTAACATACCTTTGTATAGTCTTATTGATAACTAAGGGACTTTATACTGTAGTAACCTAATCTAACCTAAAAATTACTGTACAGATGCTTGTAGTGCATGTATTTTTTATTTCTTTTTCTAACATCGAACACAGTACTTTTGCCTTCATCAAATTCTCTCGTAACACATTTGATAGGCCATTTTCACAAGTTAGTGACTATGCTTATGCTCAATTGATACAATAAGTAGCTTCCTCTTAACACCTCCACATTGATAGCTGCTGCTACCAGACATGCTCTTGGCAGAAAATGAAACAAGTTTTTATTGAAGGAGAAGTTTGAAATTAAAATCTCAGTTATGGGCTGTTACTCTGTTATACAGTCACGGTCAAAAGTCTCATTCATGGGTTGGCGGGGCAGGTAAAACTTTGCAATACTGCTTTTCGAGGTGCCAAGATGTTTCAAGAATTACCATAGTTTGTTTATACAGTAATATATTATTGACAAAGTAATACAGTATTTGAATTACAGTGTATATTGTTGAGGAAGATTTTTCTTTATACAAATCTATGAATCCTATTTGATATCTTAATTACTTCTCTGGGGGGAGCCCCGTCGGCTCCCCGGAGCTATCCAGGCTGAATGGATATGTATAACTTTCTGGCATCAGTCAAAGTGCTAGGAGTTCTTGCCTACTGGGGATCACGAGCCAGAACCTGGCCCCCTCAGAGAGGCACGAGGAGCAATGGCCTATAGAAACCCCCTTGTGATTGGAAGCATTCTATGTCTGCCATCGACCGGGACAAGCACCCAGAAAGGTAGGCGCCCCAAAACAAACCCCTATTGGGGTGAAATTATTGCTATCGAAAGCCGAACGAGTGGACAGAACTCCCTAAACAAAATTATCAAACTAGTATGACATCATCACGTCGCCGTGCCACCGTCAGCGTAACCCCCACCCCCTCCCCGAGAGGGGGAAGGGGGAGCCCCAGACCCTCCACGCCGGCGGTCCAACTGGCAGTTCTTAGCTGATGGTTTTACCGGCTGGTCGAGTGCCTCTGGCTCCGGTTTTTGTTTCAGTTCTGTGCCTTGTGGTGTGGACTGTCTCCACCGATGGGGTGTGAGATAGTAGTAAGATTCCACGGTACTCGGGCTACATGTGCCTAGGGCTATCTTCCCTAGGTGTCCTGTAAGTACTGCCCTTGGGGCTTGGGGCCACCTTCCACAAGTCGCTTTGGGTTCTACCTCCGCTGTGTCCTTTACTGCTCAACCCGTTCTCGCAAATTTAATAAGTCAATATTGACTTATTAAATATGTGCATAGGTGACATACTTAACATAATAGATACCCTTAAAAAGATTCATAGAAAACACCGACCTTACCTAACCTTGTTAGTATCTTAAGATAAGCATCTTATTGCTTCGTAATTACAATTATTACCTAACCTATTATAGGTATAGGTTAAGTAATAATTGTAATTACGAAGCAATAAGATGCTTATCTTAAGATACTAACAAGGTTAGGTAAGGTCGGTGTTTTCTATGAATCTTTTTAGGGGTATCTATTATGTTTAGTATATCACCTATGCACGTAGTTAATAAGTCAATATTGACTTTACGAATTTGCGAGAACGGGTTGCACTGCTCGGTACTGGGCCGCCCTTGGAGTCGGCTGGGGTTTTGTTGCCCTGGTTTGTCTCTGGGTAGGTGGTAGTTTTCGTCACTGGTAGGGGCGCGGGGTACTGCACAGCTAGTTTTCACCATTAACAGCGGCCGGCTCTGTTCCGCCTGGGTACATTGTCCTCTTGCGGGGTTTTTCTTTTGTGTTTGTTTTTGCCTAGTGGGGGGTCTGCCTTTACTATGGTCCCCCTTTCCTGTTCTAGGTGATTTTCTTTCAAATTTTTCTGTTGGCGGTACTCTCCGCTTGGCCCCCGTGAGTGGATATGTCCCGGGGGTTCAGCTTTAGAAGTTTGTTGGTAGATTTGGGCGCCGGTTCGCGGTACCCTGCCTGGGCTTCCCTTAGCGTGTACCAAAGGCTAAGGGCCCTGGGAAACCCCACGGGGCTCTGTGGTCCTCTAGGTGTGTCCCCAGAGTCCCCCTCGCGTCCTGCGAGTTTGACGGTTGATCTGTCCCCATGTCTCAGGGTGACACTCACCGGTTGTGTCTCTTGCCATGCTGCCTGTTGGGTCCTTGTTCTTGTGACCCGGAGTTGTCCGATGATTGTTGTTGGTACGCACTCTCCACCCAGGCCACTGGTCTTGATAATCGGATGCAGGCGGCTGCGGCGTTGCTTGTGTTACTTATCGTTCGTTACGGCTCGTGACCCTACAACAGCCAACTTTAAAAAAGGTCTAGGGTTACTAAAAACTGCTGTTCACAAGAGCGGGTCACCAGTGTAACCCCTTAATAAGTAATGAGCACTTTGTTAAATTTTCCTTTAGGACTGAAGGAATACATATAAAACTTATATATATATATATATATATATATATATATATATATATATATATATATATATATATATATATATATATATATATTACATCTCAATAGCATACAGATGGTTACTTTATTACAAATATATCAAATTAAAATATTACTGTCTCTCCCAGAAATTAATATAATATTATTATATGTATGGTTATGACAGAACAATAATGTAAAACTTAACTCCACAAGATGTTAACTCTCTGGTTCCGGATCAGCTAATGACCTACATATCTGCGGGAGTCAAAATCATTGCTTCTGCCCCGCGAGAAATTGTCAAAGTTACAATATTTATTAATTCTACAATGGAGCAATACATGGTGACAAGAGTAATCTTAAACTAACGTAATGAATGGTCAATACATATTGGTATAACAAAAATAAGGTAATTATTGCTTTACATAGTAATTAAAATACACATACAAAGGGGAATGATGGCATGCTCATCCAGCAACGGACTATCCCACGACAATTTGCCAGATACAGTTCACACAATTATTATTCACCTATGTTACCCACATATGATCACATATAAATCATTAGTTCCCATGGGAAACTGAGTACACAATGAAATAAAACAATCATTCCCACGATACGTTGGGCCTAACGCCAACAATGTAACATGAAATTATTTTACATAGAACATATAAGTATATCAATATATATACATGTAATTTATACACAATTATAAAGGTACATATTAATTTATTTAATTACGTATCTTATAGAGGTACGCAACAGCTTGCTGGGTGTAGGTTGCTGCAACTCTCTTGGTTGTTTGCAGCCCCAGGTGCCCCGAGGTTGTCCCGTTTTGGTGGTTGTGGTCTGGACTTGGGGGTGGGGTCGCTTCGACTCTGGCTCCTTCCGCTTCTTGTTCTTCCCCTTCTGTTCTACTCACTTCCTCCCTTGTTTCCTGCTCCAAACCATAGGCGGGTTTCAGGGTTGGGGCGGGGTCTGGTTGGGTTGAGACTCGGGCGGTCTCGGGGTTTTCCTCTTCCGGGGTGGCGGAGGAGGCATTCAAGTCGGTTCCTCCAGCCGTGCCGTATGGGTCTGATAGTGGGCTCCCTTCATTAGTGTTTGCATGGCTGCCCCGG